CTGATTTCCTCGGTTTTCCTACGTTTTTTCCGGTTTTCTTATATTTTTCACAGTTCTTCACATTTGCTGAGAAAACTCCAGAGGTAATCGAAAAAACAACATTTCTAAGGTACTTCCCCAGTAGTTGGAGCAAAATTGATGGTAGAAAAGTTGTCCACAGAAAGAAAAATCTTAATATTATATAAATATCTTTTATATATTTTCCCGTTTTTTTTTTTTTTTGATTTTTTACATTTGATAAAAAAAACTCTTAAGAAAATCAAATAATGGCCTCTTTAAGGTACTTCTCCACACCGATTTCTTTTCAGGAAAGGTGCTACATGTAAAATTCAGAGCAAATTCTCTGGTAGAAAAATTGTCCACAGAAAAAAAAATATCTTTATAAAATCATAAGCTTCTGCACTCCACCAAGAATCTAAAATTGAATAAAGACGACTTGAATTTTTCTTTCAATTGAATATTTGACTTTAACTCAATACATTCTATATTTTGAAATTTAGTTTTCACTGTGTTTAATTAACCGAAAATGGTGTTGCCAAAACAACAAAAATTCGACTATTCTTACGAAAATCTTAAAAACGGTTTTCAAATTCATATTTAAAGAATATATCTCTAATAATATAATTCAATACAATATTTTCTCGAACATAGTCCATGTACCCGTACTATCGCTATCAGATCCCAAAAATATAACATTTTCACATACTTTTAAATTAATTTAAAGTTTATTTAATTTTTAATAAGTATTTAGTAGTTTTATATTCATAAAATAACTTTTTTCTCATAAGAATATTATATGCAATTAATTGATGGTTTTGGATATCGAAGTGAGGACAACGGATTGAACATCCCTTGATTTAAATTATCCTCGCATAAATCTTGACTTAAGAACTCCTAATGGTATTTGAATATGAAACAAAAGTCTTCGAGTGTTTTTCATTCCGTGCAGTGCATATGAAGGAAAATAGATTGTATATTAGCAATATTTCAGGTATAATTTGAATAAAGGATATCTCTGACGAGGATATTTTGATGTACATGATGTGCAAAGGGTGCACCGTGTACAACGGTGTGCCTGTAGTGTTTTTCGATTCCCTTGCGTGACAAGTATCGTAGAAATGCGTCAAAATCCCGCGGGTTCACATCCTTTGTAACGGTGATTATATTTTTTCTCGTATTTTCATTTTTGTGCTTAAAATATCATATTATTATAACGTCTCGGCACAATACAACACTATGATGTATAGGATTAAAAATCCGATCGCGCGTTCCTGACTGTGCACAACGATTATTAATATAATATTATCGTTGTTATTATCCGTCGAACAACGTGCGACAAAAAAAAAAAAAAACCTCGAATATTATAAAGAGCCTGTCGTCGTCTCCTCGCACACGTCGTCGTCGTCGTATACTCGTGTTATTATAATATTTTTAATATTATACTATTATACACGTAGGTAAACGATTTTCACCGAGCGCGTATTTGCGCAAGGCCGCTGCTGCGTCTGTCCGTCCGTCCGGATAATTCAATGGAAGCCGTGTAATTTCGTCCGGACCAAGTAGAGCACTTTTCATTATTTACGCTCCGTTGCGACCGCGGTCGTCCGCCGTCGCCGCCGCCGTCGTCGTCGTCTCCGTCGTTGCCGCCGTGGTCGTGGTCGCCGGCCCGGCGTCCGTCCGTCCGCGGGGAGCGCGCCCGCGACCCCACGCGCGACCCGCCACCGCCGCCGCGGTCCCCGTGCGCTAGGCCCGCCCCCCCCCGCCGCCACCGACTCCCCGCCCGTCCGGCCGAGCGTTTCCCGAAAGCCACCACCGGTCTCGAATAAAACGAGCCGCCGTCCGCGGTTCGTCGTTCAGTCGTCGCCGACCAACCGTCGCCGCAGTCTTCTCTTCCGCTGTCTGCCTGCGCCGCACATCGGTTCGGTTTTTCCGGAGGACACTACACAGGACGGCTACCGCTGCTGCTCGTTCAACCGATCCGCCCGCAGACAACCGCACGTCTTCTTCGCCACCGTCATGGATATGTCGGTGCTATGGTAAATCCTACGTAATTTCACCTTAGATTTTTACGATATTCAAATGGAATTCACACTGAAACCAGACGATTTTTTACTTTTTGAAAATTCTCAATCTGCGTACGAATAAGTCAAACTTATAAAATAAATTATTTTTTTCTCCCACTTACGCCGGAATCGTCGTTTCCCGTACCTCTAATTTCCATTATAATTATTATTATTATTATGTGTTGCGAAAAAACACTTGCAATTTGTTCACTCTACCAGAGGTTTTTAGACACTGTGCTAAAAAAATATTCATGTTTCTTTTCGGATTTATAACTCGGTATTTAATCCCGTAAGGTTGACTGACGAGTACCTAAAAGTTTTTATAGAAAATAAATTTGAACTTTTACAAATTAATGTTCGCGGAGATCAATTTTTCATCAATTAATCATGCTAATTTGTTTATTCGAACAATGTAAATTGGTTCTCACACATTGTATTACTGTAATTTGTATTCGAACGAGGTATCGTTTAATCTCCAAAAATGAATTATCGGATAAAAAACCACCGGGGTAATGTATATAATTCACCTTACCCAATGAATTAACAATATGTCTAACTGTTTCTAAAATAGAAATCTCTGACCTTTCGAAATATCCAAACAATATTTGATAATTTTTCTTTTATTTTACGTTGATTTTATACATTTGATTACCTATATAATTAATATACGAGCGTCGACTACGGTCAATATTTGACAAACTCAATTTTTATACTTTAAAATTTACAAATTTCACAAATTCGATAGCCCTACTAAACTCTATAATACTTTTATGTTATAATAAACAATATTTGTATTATTTTCCAAGCTCCACCGTGGATATCTTTGGACTTTTAAATATCTTCGCTCTTTGTCAACGGCCATATTTTATAATTAAATATTAGAAATATTAGAAACATATTTTACCTTCATTATAATAACCCATGATTTAAAAAATTTATTTAGAGATTCATTAAACGTTTTAACCGCAGCGAATACTCAACGCGTGTTTTGATTATTTTTCGTCTCCAAACATAATTTCGTTCACTCGGAAAATCATCTGAAGTTAAACTTCGAACAAAATGTAACGCGTAACGGTAATTTTCCCGAACGGTTATTTATGATTATTCCATCCGACCAGATGATCTCAAAACCGTTTTGATCTATTCAATTTCCCGTAATTATTGGTTTTTGATTCCTTGCAGAATAATATAGGACAAATGAATTTCACTTATGGTCATATTATATTACAGCGAAGAAATTTGGTTTTTCTCGGTTATTTATACACTGGAACAAAAACGTTAACAGATGAATTTAAACAGACGATTTACGACGTGATCACCGTTTATTGCACATAAATGGCGATCCAATACGGCAATGCAATATGAATACGATATTACATTTTCAACGTATTGTGTGTTCTTCTTATGAATGAAAACTCGTCGTTTCGTATTGAAATATCGTTTCATTTATAATAGTATAATATACAGGTACCTACGAATAGTCATTCGAAATAATATTTCTATATATGACGAGGTTTATTTTTTTTTAACAATTTTTTATTGTATTAGAAAATAGTATATTTTCCTTCGTATTACAATAATAATATCACAATAGTGATGTCGTGTATAGTTTTCTTTTATTCCGAACGGTTTTGCCGTGCTCAAACAAATACTATAAGGCGATAATATTCGTCGATCTTCCACGCGTATCTATATCGGTTTTAGAAATCTGCATGTTTTACAGACCCGTCGTTTTTGTTCGCCGGAAATAGTGGAAATTCGCGATATGTTAATGAAAAATAAAAAAAATTGGAAAAGGACGTTTGTCTCGTTTCAATACTATATTAAAACGCATAAATACGCATCAGCTGCGTTTATTAACTGTGGTGGAGTAACGCGCGTGAGACCAATTAATTAGACATGTAGGTTTGTTCGTTGGTATTTATTCGTCTTGGCCGTTTGACGACCGTCGCAGGGAAATTCGCATTGCCCACGATGATAGTGTACAGCCGATGTAACCGATTTTCCATAATAACAATAGCGACATATTTTCGTACATAAGCCCGAGCGCATTTACAGACCCTGTTCGAGTTCGAAAGGCTCGAAACGGTATGCTAATACACGTCGTGGTTTCACGTTGACTGAAGCCTAGGGTTTTGGTTTACGCTTAGGACTTTCTTATCGGGCGTTATCAGGTTCGGACCAACAAGCAGGTTATGTTTTGGAAAATTCCGAAAACTTCTCGCAACTCTTGAAATCAACTCGGTTGAGTTTCCGCTTGAGCCCAAGGGTGTCTGAAAAGGCGACCCGCGCGCGTGGTTTTGTACATATCGACTAGCTGTGCCGCTCGGCGTTGCCTGTGCCAAAAGGAACAATAGACGAATTATCATTATGCTATTAAATTCCTTACGCGGACTACCTTGTTATTTAATTTTTTCCTCTGTATCGTCTAGGTAACTCGTAAACCAACAATAATAGTTAAATTTCCGTTCGTAAAATACCAAAAACCTTGAATCAGTCCTCCCTTTAGGAGTCGAATACAGCGGGGGGAGGGGATATAGTCTATATGTTATTCCTGGTCAATAACTGCCTTTATGCAAAGTTTCGGTTCATTCCGTTCAGCAGTTTAATATTTTCTGTACATCTAACCAAACTTTTATAAGACTATTAGGATATATATTCTGGCTATTTTGATCAATGGATAATGCCGACCGCTATTAGTTCTTGATATTTGAGTAAATCGAAAAATAAAAGTTAACTGTTACCAAACTCAAAAGGTAAGAACATTATCTATATACAAATATAGGGTTTTTATGTTTAAGCGAGATACGATGCTTTTTAAATAGTTGCAGTAATATTCCACATACATTGTCGTGTCTTGCTTAAAAATTCAAATATTAAAGAAAACAAAACCAACGTACAAACGCAGAAAATATTCGTAGCTTTAAGTTTGACAATCGGCCATTTCGCTCTAATATCCAAAACTAACGGCACAAAATCGGCCGTACTGTACGAAAAGTCGACATTATCCAATTTCCAACGTTAGCCGTTACGTATGTATTACAATAGAACGAACGGGACAAAAACATTTTTTTTTTTCGTTTTCGGCATAATAATAAAACAATAATCTAATAATGAGTTATTGATTTCCGCCCGGGACTTGCATTACACCGGGGTATTGGCCTAGTGAACTCGGTTCGTCTGACGGTAGGCACGGTAATCGCGTCGTCTTCGTTATCGGAATTCCCGCGCGCCGTACACGGCAAGACTCCGCGGGAATCACGTGGTGTGCAGTGGCAACGACAGACATAATGACGATTTACATAAAAACATATAGTTGATTAATTATTGTATTATATGGGTGGATAGGTACGGCCGCGAAATGTAGACAAAAGGCGTGTCTAAAACAATATCCGAATTATTATAAATATTTGCGCCTCGTCACTCGGAAAAAAAAAAAATAAATAAATAAAACGGCGTACCCACCTACCGTACAGTCGTTAGGTGTTATTAAAATATCTCAGTCTCTCTTGTGTTCGTCTCCGTCGTCGTCGGCTGCCTATTTGCTTACCTACTTACTGACTTGCTTGTCTTAATAAAGGAGGTAGTAGACGAGGTCGTTGTATTAAATATCCAAAGACCCGGCGGTGGCAAAAGTCGACCAGAAACAAATCAGACCATGTAAACGCCGCCGTGTGTTGCCATAATTGTTTACAATTTTTGACGATTCGGTTTTTGACCGATGTGATTAGCTCGCGGTTCGTTTTGCGTAATAATTACACGGATTTTCACACACGTTATTTTTTTTTTCACTACGCGACTTAATACCTATCATATGGTATAGGTACCTGCTTGGCGAAATAAATTGTCGCAATGTGCCACTGAAATAAGGTCACGATTATTTGCGATTTTCATATTTTCGTCGACTACGAGTTAGTAATTTTGTCCCGCCTACCTTCTTATCACAGTTAAAAATAATATCCGTTAAATATCCCTTATTGCATTGAACTTGTACCTACACCAGATTTCCGAATGCTGCAATTTGGCCATTAATCAAAATGTGGCTAATTGTCTAAAACAAATTAATTTAGTGTTGGAAAAACTATGTCATGTATATATATATATATTGAAATGCATTAAAGTCACAACTGAAAAATTAGTAATTTTTGTTCTTTTAAATTGTAATAGTACAATATTATTATACAAAAAGGTGAAGATATTTTGGAAGAAAAACAAAAATCATAATTATATCCTAGTCTTTCAAATTGATTGCCTGAACGATTATTTTTTAATTTTTTGAGTCGTGGACTTGTGACCTTATTGTTCTCACAGTGCGAATTATTATATTATGAAGACGACGAGCGAAAACTGTCTATGTAAAACGAAACGCGTCGCGAGAGTGTTCGTGACCAAGACGTTTAAAGAGGACACTTCGGGATTGGTCTAATAATGAAAATACATATGGCGATATTGTGAAAGAAAAGACCGATGCGATAGAATGAGAGTACAAGGGTGGAGAGAAGCAGTTCGGGATCGGCAGATAAGACGGGTCGAAAGGGATTGAGATGGTAGCAGACCAAAAACTCTTGGAGAGTATTTGATGACGGATAGAGAAGAAGAAGAAAGGCATTTAAACACGAAATTCAATTGTGTAGTATATGCAGAAATCATTTGAAAATGTGTCTTTTTATTGAAAGGTCCGTCTTGAATGGGTTTTATACTGGTATCATGACGTCATGACAATGTTCCACGGTTTCGAGTGTCCCGTGAGAGTTTGACAGAAAATGATATGTAAAAAAACCTTATTGATATTTTGGTAGATTCCCACGCGTGTGATCTGGTGCGAGTTTGCGAATTAACCGTGTATATTTATTAATAATAAATAATACACTTTCTATTCGTCTGGATCGCCGACAGTCGGTCTTATCTGCGATTCGTATTTAAAAAAAAAAATTATAAAAATTCACCGTCATGTAAACGTTTTATTTTCCGTGAAAATCTGTAATACTCGGCGGGCATTGTGGAGGAAAAGTGAACGCACGCATATTTTAGGATTCCTTTTTTTTTTTTTTTCGTATATCAGACATATTTTTTTCCTCATTGAATAGATTATGCACGAGCACACTGTATATCATCATCGTCATCATCATTATAACATTGTAATCGATTCTTTAGATTAGAGATTCCAGGCCTTTTTTTTTTTTTTTTGTGGGTCAGATTTCATTATTATTAGAATGTTTTCAACACGTCTCGCGCACGTCATCAAAAAAACGTCTATTAGTTTTGTCGAAACGATTAAAAAGAAAAAAAAAATCTATTTAATAAAATCGTCCCGTAGGTACAGTAATTGTTGAAAATTTACTACAAGAAATTCGAATAAAACGATTTTCACGTTAGTTTTTTGCATCCCTTCGCCATCTAGAAATTATATACGAGCATATTCAAACTACCGCTTCAATTCAATTACACTTTTAATTATTTTTAACCATATCAGAGAATTGTACCGAACTAGTAGCGAGGGGGTCAAACATTGTTGGAAAAAGATAGCGTATGACCGTCTTTCATACCTTTTAATAGCGAGAGAGGTAGGGAGAAAATGACAACATTTTCATACGACAAAGGGAAGACAATGTTGTTTGATGAAATGACGGACGCATACTGGTCGCCTCCCGAAGTCTAAAGGTTCGATAATTTCAATACGATTCGTCTCCCGGCGTACCCTATACTTTATCGTAAACGAAATTGGTCTACTGTTAGTCACCTCCCAACAGGCAGGTAATAAATATATAAGTGGTTCATAAACAATTCAACAATTTTCAAACATCATGCATCAATCTATAGATTTTGTTTAAATCTTTTATCGTGCAATAATATTATGTCGGTTGTTACTTATTAGTTATTAGTATTAATATTTACTGTAAATATTAGGTATATTAAATTTGATAATTTTGATAACAATATATTTATTATTTAAAATTTATTACCGTATTGTGGTTTTTTTATTGGCTTATTGTATTACCAAATGTTTTTTATTGACCGACGATACTATTATTTTTATTTATAAATGTTATATTAAATTCAGTTTATTTTACGAACCACTGCTTTATTCTGCATGGGAGGCAATACTAATGTGAACATTAGTATGTACCTTACTACGTAGGTATGTGAACCTTTTTATTTACGATAAGGACGGGAGGCAAGTCGTACATTTTGGGAGGCACCATTCGTATGCACCGAAAATGACAGTACGGGTATTCGAGTCCTGTACCGTATTTTATGCGCTCCGTCATTTTAACATGAACACTTTAGACAAACGTTACTTAATTATTATAAATAAGTAGACGTCCATTTATTTAAACACTAATTTATTTCATTATTGAAACGCACAACGCGAGCTCGTTCTAACGATACAGGGACGACAAATACGGGCGCCGGACAACAGCCGGCGCTACACCGTAATACACTCAGCTATTGGCTATGTTCATCTCATAAAAAAAAAATAATAATAATAATAAAATGTCCGACCAAAAGTGTTTTTAACAAATACACAACGTTTCGCGCAACCAGGATTTTTTAAAGAATGGCTTCATGTGTCCACATTAAAATAATGCAATGGCACTCAAAACGCTCCCGCCCCACCAAGTCACGCCACTGCAGGGTCCGCGTTTAAAACGGCTAAAAGTGTGTTATTCAATTTATTCGTCACGTGGTTTTAATACCGTCGGTTATCGTACGACCTGTCTATATATTAAAATTTAATCAAATCTAAAATACGACACGGCCGGCATTGTATATTGAATACGAATGCATCTAAAAAAAATTAAAAAAAAAACAGTATTTCGCGCGATTAGAATCCAATCGATCTTCACACGAATAATAATAATGTTATTCGTCTATTTGAAAATACACTCTGTGAAAAAAAAATTCTATCATTACCTATCTCAACGAATATGCTTGCGTGCACAATACGTATTTTAATCGAGTACACAAATCCGAAAAGCAAAACGTGAAATTCGAATATTTCAGAACGAAAAAAAAAAATTAAAATAGTGTATAAATAATACGCGCTGTATTAAAGTAATAGAACAACGACAACAAAAAAACCTATCTGCTTTTTTTTTTTTTTGTAATTTAACACGTGAATTGCATAAATTTCGTCATATACACACACAATATTTCGGTTTTTCAAATCCCATGTAGGTCAGTCGAGAATATTTTTCGCACAATCATATTACACATTATTATTTTATGATGAATATTTAAATCGTACATCGCGTAAAATAACATAATATTCCAGGTTGTCTGTACCTGTACTTACGTTTATGGAGTGAACGCTGGGCGTATATAACACTGTGGAAAGACCGGAGGAAATAGAATTGTATATAATTTACAAAAAAAAAAAAAAACATCGATTTATACGTTTTGTACCTATAGAAATAATAACGAAACCCGCGCAATTTTAAACGAAATTAAAAATAAATAAAAAAAACCCGTTAAAATCCGATTAATTTTTTTCCGATACGCAATACAATATTACGAACAACTGGTTCGGCGACGCGTCGGTTCGTTTTTGTTTCGTATTTTTCTTTTTGTCGAATTTCGATCGATACTTCTCGGTTCCCGCGACCGGGGCGATAGTCACCATAGGTTTGACAATGATGCGCGTTTTTTTTCGTCCGCCGCGTTTCGTTTCCGGAAAACGCATTTTCGGAACAGTGGATTTGGCGGCGATATTGTATTAATATTATGACGGCGGTAAAAAGTTCCTCGGAAAATCTCGCGCGCACAGACGATACGTCTCGAAAGTGGCGTTTTTCGCAAATCGTTTGTAAATTTTGCATTACAATTCTCCCCCCCCCCCACGCCCCCGTACAAATGCAATGAAAAAGCGACTGCGAGAACCGCAGTGGCCGGCACTACGAACTATTATTATACTGTTGTTGTGATGATAACACAGGATTTTTGTTTTTTTGTTTCCGTCGAACAGGTTAACGTTATTGGGCTGTACGATGTGCTGCACGGCAGTGATATCGGAAGCGCCGCCGCCCGCAACGTCGGTGACCGAAATGTCCGGTTTCCGGATGCTGTTCAACGCGTACCGGCAATGTTCGGACCAACAGGAAATGGTCGTGTGCCTGAAAGGCCGGGCGCTGCGGATGCTGGACAGAGCCATACAGATGGAAAACATTCAGATTGCCGACGGTAAGCACCAGACCCGGAAAATCCCGAACGATATGAACTATTAAACGATAACTCTCATAGTATTTTGTACAATAATATTCTCCTCCGTCTCATTAAAGGCCGTGCCTTGTCACCGAAAACCTGTAACCCCGATCTTCACTGGTCGTAGCCGAGCTCTGCATACCGGACGCAATTCACTTTTCCGCGATTTCCTCGATAAACGTCCTCCCGAGTGTTCGTCTTCCTTTATCCCCGTATTTCAGATATGCTCGACAAGAACGAATATTATTGTACATTAACGTGCTACTGGACGTAGCCCGCACTTTTAACTCACGGAAACCTTTTTTCCCGTTTCCTATTTGGTTCAATGCCGATTTAAAGTAACATGACCCAACCTAGCCCGACCTCGATGGTACTCGGTGAAGTTTCTGACGGAGCTAAGTACGTCCGAGATCTCAATTATTCACTCAGATTCGATATTCGGACGTGGGGTTTTTTTTATGGCGTTTTCTTTCGCACCCAGCTAGAGTCCCCGGATTCAAAAACCACGACCGTTTTCGAGACGACTTGATTTCGGTCTATCCGAGAGTATAATACATATATATATATGTATACATTTCATTCAAACCTAAAATCGGTTAAACGATTGACGTTTCTCTTTTTTTAAGCTCTACGTATTACGTCACTTAATGCTTTACGAAAGACCTTCTATAAAGGTCTATCCCTTCTGGGTTTCCATAATGCCTGCTTTATTTGTTTATTGCCGTTCAAGTGGTTCAAGCGTATTCGTGTATTCAAACGGTATTCTCTGCATAAAATGCTCAATCCACCGAAATCCGGGTCTGAGGTCTTTCGAATAAACTATTATACTCTTTTTGTCCGCGAGAACTCGGAGCTCTCTCCAAAACCGCGTTACAAAGGCTTCGGCGTTTGGCTTTCTCGGTCTTAACAACCGATAATAACATTATTGATTTCTATTAATTATTGTTTTCTCTTCTTTACCCGTCTTTGACGTTTTACATTTTTGACGCTATACATTATAAATATAATGTAGGTATCCTATTACAGCGATAATATAATACCCGTGTTTAGTCATTGTTTCAAAAATTCTAAAATAGAAAAAAAAAAAAAAAATTAAAAAAAAACCGTTTCGTTCTTCTTGACGGAAAAAAATAATAATAAAATGACCGCACACACATTATACACATTGTTTTCCGGCCCGTCATTTTACTTTTATATTTTCCTTTCTAATTATAATTTCAACGAGAATACCGCACTGCCCGTACCTGCGCGTTATTCGATTTCATGCGTATTAAAGTTTTGAAAAATTTTCACTTTTATTCGCGTAACTCGTCTCTTGTTTTTTCCCCCCCTCCCCCTCGACGTACAACACGGTCGAATACCGAAGATACGTATTATTTTTTTTTTTATTTTTTTTTTCGCCTTATGGCGAATGCGCGATAGAAAATAATCGCAATTCGAACGCGGCGAAGACGTGCGCATTGTTTGTCGGCGTACCACTAAAACTGTTACGATACACCGCCGCAACGATAATATTATCGCGTGCATTTTAACGGCGGACGGAACGAAATCAAGGTCGATTCCCGCTGCAGTACGTTCGCGCGTTAACGCTGCGCGGCGCTCGTTCCGCGGCTCTCGGCACGCCGGATACATCGTGTTTCTTGTCGCAGGCGTATCGCTGGTGAAAAGACCGGAGGGCAACAGCGGCAGGTCGCTGGAAGCGGACAACGGCGCCGGCAACGCCGACCGCGCCAGCAACGGCGAGGCGGCCGAAAACGCGATACCCGAGAACTCGGCCGACTTCGGCAAACACGTGGACTCGATGTTGTACGAAAAACTGTCCCGGTTCGCCCGGTCCAGGTCGCTACAGCTGTCCATGCCGCAGATGTCCGACGAGGGCAGGGACCTCGACGACGGCGTGTACCTGACCGGTGAGTGACGCGGTCTCGCGACAACACTTTCGCGCACTGAATACCCGTCCGTCCCTGAATCCGCGGGTTCATTGCGATCTCGGCGAGACTTTCGTTTCCGCCCGACGTACGAAACAAGAGCGCGGTCGCTTTTAGCTCTTCATCTCGAATTCGACGCCCGGCGGTGGGGGAGGAGGAGGGGGCTTCCCTCGGTAATTTCCGAAAGAAAATCGAATTTTCATCGTCGGTTTTACGCACGTTGGCGACACGGACGGAAAAAAACCGTACGGCTGTTGTTATTCGATTTGGTGTTCGGAGACAATTCGTTCGGGGACGGGGATGGGGTTTAAAACACGAATCGCCGGGAAACCGCGATTGACCGCGCGATACCCACAGGGATAAGGGCGGGGACGGCGAGACGCATTAAATCGAATTTCTTTCGTTTATTTCTATTTCCGAACGTTCAGTCAGAAGTCGGGCGCTTGATTTTCGGACTTTCGCTTCCACACTCGTCTCACCTGCTATTTCGTCTTGTATATTAACCGCGCGAATTTCGCAGGACGTAAGAAGAAAAAGGACAAGGGCGGCCACGTGTACCTGATGATGCTCAAGGGCGGACTACTGGCCATGGCGTACAAGGGACTGGCCCTGTTGGCCGGCAAGGCTCTGCTGGTGAGCAAGATCGCGCTGACGCTGGCCCTGCTGGTGGCGTTCAAGAAGCTGTTCAGCGGCGGCGGCGGACACGGCGGTTCGTCCAAGACCACGTACGAGATCGTCAAGCAACCGGTGCTGACGCACTCGCACCAGTACGCGGCGCCCGGCGCCGCCGACACGTTCGGCAGCTACGACAACAGCGGCCCGTACGCCCGGAGCATCGCGCAGCCGGACGTGGTGCCGTACCCGCAGCTAGCCGCGTACCGGGCCCACGTCAAGGGCGCCAACGGCGCGGGCGGTCCCGTGCAGATGATGTCGTCGGCGGCCGGTTCGTCGCCGTCCGTCGTCATGTCCGGCGTCGTGCAGCACGATTCCAACCTGAGGGACGAGGCGCTCTGAATCCAACGTCGCCGCAACCATCGATGACGTCCCGTAACAGCAGTGGCGAGACGAACAGCCGCCGACCGTATTATAATACATCATTATCATTATCATTACTGTTATCATTATAATCGCGACATCGGTGTGCGGCCGAAGACGCCAGTCGTTATATTATGGTCAACGGCGTCGCCCGGCCCCGTTCCGTTCACAACGAGACTACAATATTATTTATTATTATTATTATTATTATTATTATTATTATTATATCATGTCTGATGTATCGATACGAGTCGTATTTTATCATAGTTGATTATACCTTTACAATATTTAATATCATTGTTTTAATATTAGAGATTATTTATTATTTATTTATTGCTATATTTTATTGTAATCATTATCGTATGACATTATACAATTTTTTTTTCTTTTTGCTTGAACACGAAAAACTGATTGCGCTCAAATTTGTATCTCGCGACTCGATTATTTAACCGAAACAATTATTATTTATAATGCGAATAAAAAGAAAATACTATCGTTTTCAACGCAAAGGCCGACATTTTTCGTTTCGATAACATCATATTATTATGGTGTCCGGTTATTACGCCCTGGCTGTGCAATACAAATGCCTGCAGTAGTCGAAAACAATTCGTCCGCGAGTAGTGCAACGGCGTGCAACAGCTTTTTATCACGGGGTTTAAACAACATGTTATTATATTGATAGTGTTAAATACAATCAATGCAAATTTAATCATTTTAGGAGTTATCGGGTCTGTAATACGGAGAGATTTCTTTTAACGATCGTACAACTCAAATCAAACCGTGTTACTTTATCCATCTTAATTCTCCTCCCCCTCCCACTACACATTTGTTTGTATTTATTGAAATTTTTTGGTATTGAAAACCGTGTAGTACAAAATATATTGTCATTTGTATTGCATACTTCTTAATGTCCAACACATATATTCCCAGCCAGCTCGTGAAAATGCGATTTCTAAAACATACGATTTAAATATTTTGTATTAAAACCTCAAAATCACGACTAATACGAGTACGTACCTAAATACAAATTATCAATAGTGCTTACATATTTGCCAAAGCTTAAATAAATTGTAAAATATTATTACATTGCCTTCTTTAAATATTATTTATACACAGGAGAGAAATTATACCCGTTAACTAACCTTAGTTAGGTTATACTTAACCTAACCTTAACCGTCACCTTGAAAATGTGGTCCGGCCTGTTTTTGACCGGACCCGAACCCCTCGGCCGGTGCCACTGAAATATCTCACACAACATTTACTGTTTATTCTTCTATATTCCGACCCGTGATGAGAACTTCGCCAAAAACGCATTCTTCTCTAGAGCAATGTCCTTAATATGAAATTATCACCCCAAATTTGATTATTTCCATCGCCCTTTAATTATTATTACTAAATTCCCAATAAATGATTAATCTCACACAACATTTACTGTTTATTATACCTACACTACTGTTAAATGTTACAATATGCATATAGGTACATTGTCCTATCCGTTTTTCAATTTACACTATCAATTAATGTATCTGGACATGCGCCCGTCTTTATGTATTTACGAATAAACTGTTGTTAATATTAATATTATTATGTCCGATGCGGAAAATTTCATAATGCCCATTATGTTAATATCCAAGAACATTAAAGATTCGGGAATATCAAGTTCCAAATTTTAGATATTAAATTTGTATTTTTTATTTTTATCAATCAAATAAAATAAATACACTTTATGACTTATCTGTCTTCAAAAAGCATAGATTTTATTGGTTATACAGAGTTATAAAATTATTAATCAGATATATACAGAGCAAATAAAATAACTTATATACAACTAATTATTCACATTTTTTTTTTTTATTTTTTCGCATATTTAAGCGTTATACGTGGTGCATATTTTGAATTAAAAATTCACGGAGTTGAAACAAGTAGAACCGAGATTGTCTAGGACAGAGGTTATCAAACTTTTCATTTAGCGTACTGCATATATGTTCTATAGATCTGTCACGTACCACGTAAAATTAAAAATTGAACAATTCATAATGTGTATACATTTATTTCAAAACGATAAGATTATAAGACAGTAAAATACTCCAATATAATATTAAAATAAAAGATAGTATTAGATCCATTAAAAAAAAAAAAAAATTGTATTGATATTGATTAATTTATTTTCTGTAGAGTTACGATGCGGCCTTCTGCATACCACCAGTGGTACGCGCACTACAGTTTGAAAACCGCTGGTCTAGGAATCTTTGATTAAACAGCGTGTTCTTATAGGGTACTGTACCTTGTCCTTTAATTTCAAGTTCAATGTATTAATATTACTATTATTATTTATATTTTTTACGACCCATAGTACAGCTTTTATTTTCGTAAATTGATTTAACTGGCAAAACTAAAAAATTCTTGATCATTTTGTATTGTTAATCAGTCTATAAAGTCTAGATTATGTTCACTCAGAAAAATTCTTATAATTTTATTTTGTTGTAATTGGTGTTGCTTAATCTCATAAATAAACTGATATGATTTATAAGAATAGTGCGATCCATTAAAATTTAGACAAAAAAGCACTATTACTATTTTGTTAAAAAAAAAAAAAAAAATACTTAATTTTAATCATTGTCATTTTTAAAATATTTTTTTTTATTAGATTTTATGCAGATGGCCTTATTATCGTAGACAACAACGGAGATGACACGGGGAATAAAACTGAAATCCTCGAAGAATCCGCAATAAATAGGACCTGAAATAAATGTAGAAAAAATGATTGTTGAATAAATAAAAAAAATAAAAAAATAAATTGAGGAAGACTTTGAAAGGACAGTAGTGAATAACTGACGTGGTATAATTCAAGTTCGGAAGAAGTGGCATGAAGTTGCGATGGCGGCGAAAAATTTTGTAGTGTTGATTAAACCAGAAGAAGATAAGTAATACAATGAAATAAGTGTATATATGTGTACACATAACAATATAATCGTATAGCAGCTTTATTTTCGTAATTAACAATCCAATAATACAACTATAATTATTATTTATTTATGTGCGATTCGTATATTCTTATATTTACAGCAAAACTATATAATTATTGATATCTAAATAATATAACGGTCAAATTAGTAATATTAGAGATTACGCGGACTATAAACTACTGTTTTGAACAATGCAATTTAAATTCAAGCAATGGACGTGATTCGGTGATTAATTGACATCCAATGATGTAGTAATTTTACTTAGATTCCCTCGCTTTATTCTAAAATCGTCTTGATTATAAGACTCATCCATAAACGAATTTGCACAATGAATTGTTCAAAACCGAAAATGTGAATTTATTAAATTTCGTTTGGTGAATTTGTTTGAGGATTATAATTTGTCAATTCCCGCTTCAACCATCTGCTCTATTAAGCTGTTGAATCCTTTATTAATGTTGTCAAAGTTGTCCATAAGTTGCACAATATTATAATTTTTTTTCCGAAGTACGACAAGATAGGTGAAACGATTCAGATCCCATTTAAAATTGTTGATCAATATATGTTGTAACATTTTAATTTTGTTTGCACTTTTCAGATAATTGTCCAAATCTCCACTGCAATCAAAGATCAAATTAAGTTGTTGCAATAATCGTACAATTTTTGCCGGATCGTGTTTAATAATGTCGCAGAATAGTTCGTATTGTACTTCGAAGACGGAAAGAGATTCTTTAAAATATTTATAAAACGCATGTCTATTTTTCACAAATACAGAACCTAAATTAATTTTATGGCCAAAGTGTCCTACATGTGTTTGGCCAAACATAATGAATTGACTAAGATATTGGTAAGCAATGATCGTTAATCCGTATAAATACATCACTATATGTGCAATATAATTGTGTATAATAAAAGGGACCAGTTGGTTAACTGCCATGATTCTGTCTAATGATGCATTGGTTGCAATATCTTCGAATACATCATTCAGTGAAATTCTCTACAACAAAAAATTAAAAAAAAAAAAACAACTTAAAAAAGACGGACATACTTCGTACGACGGGTGGACCATTGTTGTAGGTGAAAAGTTGGGAATGTAGGATATGTAGAGGGAAATTTAATTTATATTTCTAATCAACGATATACCATTGCTAACAAAAAACGAAATTTCTTTTACCAATTTGTCTTACGTTTTTTCCCGGTATTCCCAATTATTATGAAAACCACTAAAAAAAAAAAATTACCTGATTAAAGTATCATCCTGATAAAATTTACTTTCAGAAAAGTACTAAACTTGAAAATTAGAACAAGATTTGAAGTAGAAAAAATGTTCACGGATAAGAAAAATATAAAATAAACAACACTATGCTCCGAATCTAAAATTCAGTAAAATTATATTAGTTTAATTCTACGAGAGAAACTTACTTAATTTTTTTATAAAAAACTTTTTATAGGTAATCATTGGAACAATCAAGATAAAATCATCCAAAAGATAATCTAAAAAATTCATAAGAACCAAATTTTTTAAATTTTTTTTCTAGACTAAAACACCATGCATATCTGTCCACCCATTATAAATCTGCCTTACTATGTACTTAGTATATTATTGCGTATTATCAATCTTAATAAATTCTTAAAATATTTGTTTTTTTTTTCTATAATCATGCTGTTTTCCCGGTCAGTAATGACAAGAAATTTTCTGGATATCAAAACTGAACTGTATACATCTGAAAAGAAATACTTTTGGACATTAAGATATCTTTAAGAATCTTTTAGATAAATTTGAAATTGACAAACTCCATTATGTGACCTGATCTAACTTTCAAAATATGGAATTATTAAATTATAAATCCACGCTAATCTGGTAAAAATCTTGAAAATCGTTTGTTTAGTCAAATGTTTAACAGATTTCAAATTTTAGAATTAGAGAATTTTATTGTCTAGATTTCTGCTATTTCGGTTTTCACTGTTAGGATTTTAAAATCCAGATTTCACGACTATTATTCCAAGTTTTTATGTACTCCAGAAATTATAGCTATCACAGTTCTTTGTAGTTGATAACAATATTTCAATAATTTTACTTTTCAGATTTGTGCATTCCCAATTTCAATGTTTGTCATAACCTGGAAAGTACAAATCTGGATACCAGAATTGTTGCACCTTCCAGGTTTGTATGATTGAAATTTTAAAATTCGTAATACGCTGAACTTTAGATTATACAGAGATGAATTTACACTTTTGGCATCCTAGAGAACTGCAATTTAGAGCCTGTTCATAAATACGATGAGTAAAAAAAAAAAAAAGGCCATCGTGTCTCATGACAATCTCTTGAAATATAAAAACCCATGTAAATTGTTCTCGTTAAACAAATACACCTCTATGTAATTATTATTTATTTTTCAACAAAAATTAAAAATATAATAATAATAATTCTTAAATATTTACCGTATCTTTATTAACGCGTGCCTTGTGTTTTGATAAGCTAATGTCCATAAAAAATCCAGTATTGTAGTACTTCCAGTATTTTAAAAACGACCAATCTAGTGTGTAATATGAAATCCAGGACGAATTTTCATCATCTAAAAATGGCCTTGTAAATTTCAATATACCACTTTTAAGTATGCGTTTATTTTTGTCTATGTTTTCATTTATCTCATGCGGTATACCTTCAAATTGCTCATGTAAAATTGTTTCATCATTATCGATTTTCCTCGTGTTCGATACGTTTGTATCTTGGTTGAAATACGTGTCGAAATGCCATACAAAATGGTAGGTTTGTGGTTCACGGATAATGGGATTGCATGAACTTTTAATTGACATAATTTTATCTAGAGTTCTCTTATTACCTGAACGAGGAATACTTTCGACGAGTGAATACAGTTCAGCCACAGTTATTGACGATTTTTCGTAATTTCTTGCACTAAAAAACATATAGATTTCGAATATCTCCTCAATATATTTATTATCACGCATCAAAATAAATCGTAATGCGAAGAAAAATTCTCTATTCGTTTCCGAAATCGATATGAGATCGAATGTTGACGGTCTCTTGTTTATACACGGTTCATGAGCAAGTTGACGTAATACTATCAAAGTCTCATCTACGTATTTTTGCAGAATATCGTAGATTAATTCAGCCGAAGATTTTATCATTTCATTGTAAATCAACTCCATTTCAATCTCCAATTGCTTGAAACATTGTAGCGGATGTGTTGCCCAACTTCTCGTTTTACTAGTTTCACTACTGGTGTTATTGTATTTGTTATAATCGCATAGAACTGTCTTTGTTCTTGGGTATGTGTTCCTAAAATTATCGAAACCGTTTTCGTATATTCGCAGCAACCTATTTAAATCTAATGGAACTTCCAATTTTTTTCGAAAAGCTTCATTGTATTCTTTTTGAAGCGGCACGTCGATTTGACTAACTTGTATTTGATCGTCAAATAATTCCGTTATAGTATTATAACTCTTAATGGATACAAACAAAGAAGTTAATAATATTTTTTTCAAAACAATTATGTGCATTTTATTACTCGGCGGTTAACAAAATAGGAAAAAAAATGGTACCTAACAAATTACAATAACAAAAGTATAGTTGTTTTAAATTGTTTGCTACCATACCGTACCATTTTTACCGTACTAATTAATGTTTGTATACACGTAGAAAAACAGATACAATTCAAAACGAAAACTATATTTTTTATTTACATAGAATTTTATGTAGATGCATCGCAAATATAATTTCTAAGTAAGTACACATTAGATTTTAATTTATAAAACATAGGTTTTAGGTTGAAATGAAAAAATATAAGGTTTTCATTTTGTCTGAATAACATACGATTTGGAGTGATGATAAGAATCACTGTCGTCGTATATTTATTTAATGAAACCAGGAAAGCGTAACCTTTTTTTGGTTGAACCGGTGTACCCGCGGTTATTTAGCGGATGAAATTTTACCTCCCAGTAAAATATTCCAGAATAAAATATCACTAGCAATATTTACCCCACAGTAAAATTTCACTCGTTTTTTTTTTTTATATTCTTCATTATATTTTATTTCGTAGAATTTCATACTACGTATAATAAGGGGACCAGTTTACTTTGTTTATAATATTATCTATAATTAATTTACTACAGACGGACATAATTTAATGCCGCATTGCTTTACTGATATTTGTAGCTATGGAACCTGTATTAATCAAACATCTTCTAATTCTTTATCACTAGACTCTCCATTCGACTTTGCTCGTGGGTGGACCACTGTAGTAGAAGAGAAGTCGATAAGATATTAGAGGGGAAATTTAATGTATACCCGTTAGCAACGATAAACGATTGATAACGAAGAAACGATTCTGAACGGAGTTTATTGAACAATGTTGCTTTGTGAACAATATATATGTCATATTATAACAAAGTAATTATATACGCATTAAACATTTTCTTTAATAATATTTGTGTAATATTGTACATATTTGTCCATTCTCTGGTTTTTCCATGTTTCCCCCTAATTTTCCATGTAAAATTACTTCTTTAAAGTACCACGACAGTCAGATTTCCTTCTAGAAAAAGTGCTACACTTGTAAATCGGAGAAATATTTCTGGTAGAAACAACAGAATAAAACAAATGAACATCATTGTAAAACTTTTAGAATTCATTCAGAATCTAGAATATAGGGTTTTTATAGTATTCGATTTGAAGTAATAACAATTTATTTAAATGTATACGATACAAACAATAATATAATCATTATATTATAGATGAGGGCGCAACTTTGAGTACACATTAATCTCGCACAAATATTTCATACTCTTTAAGTCTCTTATGAAAACGTATTTTAAAAATGTTACTCCAAATAATTTCCGATTTAAAAAAAACGAGTTTACTCGAATCACAACTTCCACATTAGGTATGAATATTATTTTACCCAAATTTGAATTAAAATCAAACGTAAAAGATTTTATAGAAAAACAAAATCGAATTTATATCAAAGGTATTATATTACTATAAATGTTGAAATTATTCATTCAGTGATTAGACAACAAAAAAAAATAAACTTAAAAAAAAAAATCACGGTAAGTGCAATAAATACCTCTTCCTTGAATGTAATATGAATACCGTAATAAAATTAACTACTCAAAAAAACACTTATTTTTATTATAGATTTAACTATTTTTGTATCTAGTTTACTAGATTTAAATACTGTTTGCTAATGTTTCATTAAAAAATACATCTATGAAATTCGATTTGATTTTACTTGCTCATTAAATTAAGGTGAATTTAACTGGTTTTATTTCGATTATGCAAAGTGGCCCGTTAATAATGAATCACAGTTTTTCAATGAATTTTAAGTGGATTTAATTTCGAGTTTTTCCAATCATTATGGAATCAAGTAACACGTTTACAAAATTTTACTCCTGCCTTGAGTGTCTATGCAATTTTAATTAAATAAATTAATAAAACAGGATTCTCTCTTTTAAAAATAGATTCACCTAGAACAGTTGCGTAACAAGAGGGTGGTACAGGATATACTTCTCCTTTCAAAACGTCTCCGAAGTTTTTTTTTTTTTCAATTTTATAATTTGTAATATGTTCATTAAATGGGCCGCCTTCTTTATTTTCTAATAAAATATATTAGTTATGCTATTTAAAAAAAAAAAAAAACAGGAAATCCAGGTGGGTCACATATATTTTTTTTTATAAAAATTTAAGCTTATTTTTTAAAAATTGTTTTTGTGTCTGTTAACAATTTTTCTATCAGAAATCTTGCATAAATAAAAAAACTACAATTTACCTTTTTTGTTGAATTTCATTTTTAGATTCAGAGTGGAGTGAGGAATGTATTGGTTTTACAATGATGTTAATTTTTTTTCTGTAGAAAACTTTTTTTAACAGAAATTTTCCTCTGATTTTCAAGTGTAGCACTTTTCCTGAACGAAAATTTAACTAGGGTGGTATTTAAGGAAGGTCATTTTTTGATCTTTCTCTAAACCTATACATATTCTTTTTTCTGTAAACAATTTTTTTTTAAGCAATTAAATTTCAATCGTTGATAACCTATGAAAATTATCACAGATATTGTACAGTGAGCGGTTTAGGTGCGATCAGTAAATCAATATTATTCGATCTATTTTACAATATTTTCATTATACAGTTGGTGTTAATGTGAAAATTCTGTATGCATTTACATTATCTCCTCCAGATGACTTAATTTTAACGTGAGTACAATATAATACACCAAATAACTATCGAAAATGTTTCAATATTGTAGAAATCTTGTTTTAACTTCTTTGTAGAATTTTCATTACTGCAAAATTCAACAAATTCTGGACGTACTGTAGCAATAGTATGTGAAACAAGTTTTATGATACGACTCGCAGTCTATTTATGAATTCCTATAAAATCTCCACATACAATTAACATTGGCAAAAAAAAAACATATCTTATGAATATTTTTTCAACAATAACACTGACTCCATGATGGAAAATCAATCCAAAGGCACAGAAGGACTTTAATGTACTAAATGCTATGGAAGGGGAAACTATAATCTGTCTTTTTGAATCAGTGTATTTCATTATCTCTGTATAGTTTTCAAGTAATAATAACGATTTTTGAGTATATACCTCCTGATTTATTTGTACATAATCACTGTTATGGTTTACCATTTCTTGAAATATGTCCATTTAATGTCTTCATTAATCATTTAATTTAAAATTAAATATCTGCATTTAATGTTTGAAAGCACTCGATTATTTTTTGGGCCCAGTTTTTGTTCTCGCCATATGCACTACAAGCGATGCTTTTCATTTCCTTGCCACTATAAGAAAACGTGTCAAAACCTATATCAAATGTATCCTTTGTCTTATTTAAAGTCGAAGTTAATTGAAATTTCGTTTCATACGTCTTTCGGTATTCATTGGAAATTCCATATTTTGGTTTATTAAAATCCTTGTAAAGAAATGACTTTAAATTGCTAAAAACAACGAAATAAATAATATAAGTGTCATAGCAATTATGATCGCACATATTACTTAGTAGTTTATGCGTATCACCAGTTTGTAAAGTTATTTTAACTCGTATTCTTACAAAACCATATGTCTATATTTATGTGCAAACAAAAGCAGGTGATATGTAATTTAAAATGAGTGTAAAGAGTGTATAGCAACAACAAATTTTTTTCAGCAGGTTTTGTTGAAATGTCCCGAAATTCATATAAAAATATAGTAACACAATACAAGGTGGTTTTAGGTTCTGAATGGAGTGAGGAATGTATTGGTTTTCAATGATGTTTATTTTTATTTTCCGTATACTGTGTACAAAGATACTTCGAGAAATCTTGCTTCAAAGTATTTTGCGTAGCATTTTTTTTCTGAAAGAGAATTTTCCTGTGTTGGTTTCATTTAAATAAAGTAATTTTTTGGTTTTCTAAGAGTTTTCCTGATAAACTGGGAAAACTAGGAAAAAACGGAGGAAAACTGGAAAACGTACGAAATGTATTAGTAGTAAGAAAAACGGGAAAGTAAATACAATGTTGACAAGTATTATTAAAGAAAATAAATAGTTCATATGAAATTATTTTACCATAATATGACAGTACGACATGTATAATGCTGACAAAGCAACATTATTAACCGAACTACTCTCAGAATCGTTTTTCGTTAGCAGCGGGTAATCGTTTCGTACAGATTACAGATATATTAAATTTCCCCTTTAACTTCCCAATTACTCATCTAAAACAGTAACCCACCCGAACACCCGTCGTTTGAAGTATATAACCGTATATCCTATTATTCTAAACGAGAAATATTCTCGGAGGATTTTACGTGAATTAGTTTTCCATTTTTTTTTTAATCATTGAGGAATCGGTTAGGCTCTATTTTAAAACCTTTTTTTTTCCACCTATTTTACCATCTTAATTTCCACCGACGAGTAGCTTCAAAAGTAGGCCTACATTACCTATCAGGACATTATTCGCCTATTCGATTGTTATTAGTAAATTTAGGTACAATTTTTCCATTTACAATAAAAAAAGGACAAAAAAAAATGTTCCGTTTTATATTAAATGATTGTGTAATAAACATTAACACGTAAATTATTTTTACGTACCATACGTTTTACTACGATGGCTGTGTTCGGTTTTTTTGCGCACAGTTAACACAAAACTGCCACGCGTACGATGTACTCGTACGTCACGATTATCGTAACTTCGGCAAGTATCAATACGTTCGATGCCATTTTAAGGCGATATTATTATTCGATTAGTACTTTTATGTGTTAACAATTATTCATATTATTAATTGTTACGACGTTTCGTAAGTAGTCCTTATAATATATCGATTTAAACATTTTTGTTTGCTATCCGGACGGATATCCGTACAAAAGTGTGTGATACAAGGTGGAATAGAAATCGATTGCGGAGTTAATTGTAGTTTTAGTGGAATGGACAGATTCTGATCTGACCGAAGACATTTTTAAATACACGCAAATCAACGGATAAACTTAACATGATTTTAATATTTTAGTATTATTTCGTCGGGTATAAATAACATCGTACTTGCAAAATGCTATCATAAATATTTTACATTTCGCCGTTTTGTTTTTTTTTTTTTTTTTCAAACACCGTATTTAAAATGTTGAAAATGTGTGCATATTTACATAAACATATAGATGCATTTATGACTCGGTACATTCAATATTAAATACAGGTATGGATTCTTGCAGCCTCGAAAAGCTGCAGTTTCCTGTAAAAACATAACTGCACGTCATCGTTGTGAAACCCGTATTATTTTATAACGTTTTTTTGCCCGGAACTTTTAAAACGACTGCGGAAAAACATCGTTTTAAAATACGTGTCAAATTAAGTTAACTACGTAGATCCAAGAAAGCGGTCACGATTCCCCTTTCAAATTCCTCTAAAACCGCTTTTTCCGTCAAAACACGATTATTTAATGTTATTTTCAATAAAAAAAAAGGATGGACATACCTCGCACGTGGGTACGGCCACTGTTGTGGTTGGGAAGTTAGAAAGGTAGGATACAGACGGGAATTGAATGTAAATCTGTAAGCAACGGTAAACTATTAATAACGAAAAAACGATTCTGAACGGAGTTCAGTTGATAGTGTTGCTTTGTCAAAAATATGTACATGCATATTATGGTAAAATAGTTACAACAATGTGCGTTTCCATGACAACAATGTTTAAAATAATAAAAACTTAATAATAACAAAAAAAATTTTAAATGATTGCCAATGACAACCTCATTATATCTTTCAATCCTTTTTAACCCAGAGACCCAGGTTTTTCTCATTATTTCGAATATTAATGAGAATTTCGAAAAATGTTCTAAAGTACCACCCAGAGAAAATTTCTTTACAGAAAAGGTACTATACTTGATAATCGGAGTAAGGTTTGTGGTAGAAAAAATGTTCACGTAAAAAAAAAACGTCATTGTTTTTAAATTATGTCGGCAAGGTGAGAAATAATTAATTTGTTCTGTAGACATTTTTTTTGTAATGCTCTAAAATAAAACGAACACAGCTTGTAAATGCACCACCGTGTTGGCCCTACAAAGGCACGGGCCCACTGTGCTGTAAACCAGTAAAACGGTGGGCCGCCGCGTCTTTTCTGTTCGCAAAGACCATTTTCTATAACGAAAAATAGGCCACGGTGGGAAATTCGGAAGCTCTGCCGTTCGTGGGCGTTTTTTTTATAATTTTTATAATCGTATTTTATTATAATTTGTTTTTGTTTTTAAATTGGCGATCAATACAATGTTGTACAGTTGCCTATTGAATTCGTGTATATTGCACTTAATATACGTACGCACGGCACGACATAGATCTTAGTCCTACACGAACAATACAGTAAAATAAATTATAATAAAATAATAAATAAACAATGATAATATTATTATGAAATGATAAGTAAAAAAAAAAAAAAAAAATATATAAATAAAACACGATAATTTAGGCGCACTATAGCGGTTCTCGGGTGTCGGCGGAACGTCGGTCGCCGAGACCTATGGCTTGCGGTGGTTGTGCGATCTGTACGCCAACATTTGACCGTTGACCGGCGTCAGGTGGTGCGACGACCTCCTGTCCCAGCCGGCGGCGACGGGCGCCGCGGCGTAGCCGACCGGACTGGCGGCCGGCGGCCACGCGGCCGCGGCCGCGTGCGACTCGTGCACCACGTGCTCGCTTCCGCCCGTCTTGGACACGAGCTTCTTGAGCGTGATGATCAGCGACAGGACGAGCGCTATCTTGCTGATGATCATCGCTTTGCCGGCCATCAGGAACAGCAGCCCGAGCGCCAGCGGTATGACCATCATCGCTTTCATGGCCACCGCCGTCATCATCATTCCCATGGTCTTCTTCATTTTGCCCCTACCTTCGCGGCGAACAGAACAAACACGACAATGAATACAACGTGATACGCACGTAACGCCGTGACATCACGGAGGGCCGGGCGAACAGAATGCGCACCGTGTACGCTATTTAAACGCGCCGTTCTGGTTGAACCCTCCCAAAAAAAAAAAAAAATATGTTTTTTATTATTTTACGTTATTGCGATTACGATGATTTGTATACGGATACTGTTATCGTAACATAGATAAATCGGTGTTCAAGAGCACTCGATTCACTGCACCGTCGGCGAAACTCCCCGAGTCCTTTACTTTTTTCGGTTCGTTGCACGCGCCCGTTTTCTTTGTTTTCATCTCGCTTGACTTGTAGCAAGCAGAAGACGCGTTTCGACGGACGTTTCGTAAAATGAAAACATAAATGTCAAAATGTCAAAATCAAAAATAACCGGCGGTGCGCATTTCCGCGCAGTTTTCAAACCGGTTCGCTCACATTTGTCCGCATTCTGTCCGACCGGCCCTTGAAATAACCGAATAGGTCACCATTAGCAATAGAGGCTTATAAGAATTAAATTGCCCATCGGGAACTTTCCCCGCTGACGTATTTAGCGGCCGAACCGTGTTTTTACGGTGTAGCAGAATTTGAAATTCATCAACTTTTACCCGTATAAATATTATATACTCTCCGACCCCTACAACCTACCACCTTGAATATGTATACGCGTTCTACTCGGCTATCCCGAATCCCAATTATCGGGAACGGCTACCTAAAATGTGATGTGCAACAAACAACTGCTAAGTATTGTTTGGGCGCCGCTGATTCGTAACTGTAAAATTAATTGATATTCAATAAATCCTATTTCGACGGTGAACGGCGGGCACCACGCAATTGAACTTGGTTAAATTTTTTGTAGACAATTAAATTTCGCGTTGTTTTTAATAAAAAAGTTTTTATCGTATCTCCTACTGTTCGTGAACTATATTCGTATTGCCGTAAACAAACGAGTGTTTTCAAATAAAAGAAACGTTTCGTAATTTATTATTTTTCATGGAAAATGGATGACATCCGAAATGCAATTTGTATGGACGATTTTAAATTCGCGCTAATTGCTTTAATTTTTTAATAAATCGCGAAATACCGAAAAATTTCCCTCTTCGGAATTTACATTCAGCATTACCAAATTCATCCCAAACGTCATTCTCTTTACGAAATCGAAAATTTGAAAATTCGAAAATAACAAACACTCAAGAGTACGGACCATGTAGACATTATAATAGTAGAAACCGCGTAATGACAAAATGAATCATAGCTATCACTTTATATATATATATATATATATTTCCCAGTCTCTTTTTTTTTATTTAACGTTTTTAATAGTATATTAAAATAGTAATAAATATGATAAAGCGATGATAACACGACGGGGGAAAATCGACCAATAAGAAAAGTGACGGAGAACTACAACGGATGTAGGCCGGACGAGGAAGAGACGGGCATACCGAATGTAAACGAGACAAACTGCAATAAAACCCATTTATTTTGTCACGGGTCGGAATATTTTATATTATTGTAATGACAATAACGTTTTTCGTTTTCTAAGTGGGTCAGTTTATTACATTATTCTCGCCCTCCACGTCATACTATTATTCATCTTCGTCTACTTCGGTCGCCCCCACATATCACACGAGTGTATAACCTCCATGTAGCCACTTTTTCTTCCGCTTATTTTTTTCCTGCAGGGCTCCATCGAACCGACTCCATCATTGTTTACGGTCATCATAATAGTCAAGAGAAATATGTTCGCATTACTTAAACAACAAGAGGAAAATAAATTCTATAAGTGCAAACATTGTTGGAGGAAAAAATGGCCATGTTATCAATCGAAACGCGAACAGTTGATCGTCGGTGAATTAATCTATAAATTGGTCATCACAAAAAAAAATTAATAAAAAATATAATTATGTTGATCACATTTCCTCGTGGACTTTTCTCCGACACTGCGAAATCGATAAATCGATGATTAATGAAATTTATATTTGCCAATAATGTGTTTAATATATAATTAAAATTTACAATTTACAATGCGAATATATAAAACGGTAACTAGGTAAAAAAGATGACTGTGGGCCGCTATTGTACGTGAGAAGTTGGGAACGCAGGATATAGACGGGGATTCAGATTAATTAGTATCTGCACGCAACGATAACCCATCGTTAACGAAAAACGGTTCGGAACGAAGTTTCTTCTATTCGCGGATGGACATTTTCCCGGTTTTTCTAATCATTATGAATGCCGCTTAGAAAATAAATACCAAGTAGATAAAATTTCCTTTCAGAAAACGTGCTACACACGAAAATCGGAGCGAAATTTCAGGTAAATAAACATCATCGTAAACCCATACATTTCTCGGTACGCCCCGTATCCATCGATTTGCTTTTACCCTTTTCGCCCTTTATGGGTTCAATTTTTTTCAACGTCCGCGTCGCAAGACATGCGCAAAACACACTTTGCTCCGAATCGATTTTCGTTATCAACGGCCAATCGTTGCGTACAGATACAAATTAAATTCCCCGCTATACCGCGCCCTTCCGACATTTCGCCTGCAACGGCGGCCCACCAACCGTGCGAATCGCGTCCGGTTTTTTTTTCCGCGATCGATCCGACCGGCGGCGGCTACCGATTTTCAGCCACGATCGATAATTATCGTTCGCGATCGATTTACCGCCGTCCGTAAAACTACGGCCATTTATTCGGAAATATTTCGCGGGGCGTCCGACACTTGTCGCGTTACGTTGCGCTTTTAACGCGATTCGCTGCGGCAACGACGCGGCGACGACGACACCGCACCCGACGAAATCGCGGCCATAAACGGGACAACGGCCGCGAAACGGGGAACGTCCGATTTCGCCGTCCGGCCGTTTATCCCGCGGCCGCCCCGTTACCGCCGGCCCGGCGTTCCCGGCGCTACGGTTTCGTCGCCGCGTTAGTGACGGGCCGGCGCACACGCGCGAGCTCCGGCCGCCGGTCGCGTGCCGCGCGACGTATTTGTTTTTTCGGACGGCGTTTCCGGTACCGCGACACAACGTATCTCCGGCGTGGCGGCGTGCACTCGGTTCCGTTTCGCTTGGCCGTCCGTCGTTTGTCGGTCGGTTTGTTTTTTTTTTTTTTTTATTATTATTTGCATTTCGTCCGCCCCAATTTTACGCGGACTGTGAAATCACGCGCGCGGGTATACGTGCGTGCGTGCGCGTATTATCATTATCAAAAGGAAAACGGCGGGCCGCCCGCCCCGTCCGGCCGGGAAATATGTAGCGCAAACGCACGCGGCGATTTTACGGTTCCGCCGACCGGCGGCGCGACCCGACGGACGCGGCGGCGACGCACGACGCGGCGGCGGTTCATTCCCGCGTCGCCCCGACAGCGTTTTCGCTCGCTGTTGACGTCCGCCTGCGTCGCGCGTCGCCCGCCCACGACCGACCCCGTGCCGCTGCGCACGGATCGCGCGAGTACTGTTGAATCGCCACTGCGCGAAACCGCGGAACCGTGCCAAACTCAAACTACGGAAATTCTATGAAAGCTCGAATTTCCTCGGCAATAATGATCGTATTGCAACAACACTATTTCAATTCAAAACGACAATATAACCGATTTGCGTGTCGGCGGAATGGGACGGAATCGGCGGGCGGACGACACGGTCCCGGCAGCGTTCGATCATAATGCACCGCGTTTCAGAACCGGTCGAATGTTCGAATGCTCCAACCGATATGGAAAAAACAAAAAAAAAACATTTCGAAATCGAGCGTTAAAGTTTCGTTAAAGGGTCAAATTAAAATCTCTATTTTTTCATGCCGGGCGAAGCACGACATTCGACCGGGTCTGAAACGCGGCGCAGCATGTAAAAATGCGTCCCGGCGCAGATCGACGATGATACACACGCGTTGCGGATTTTGTCGCGCGCACCATCGTTTTCTCCGAGTTTCCGACGTGCGCGGCCGTAGATGAAAACGTAATCGCGTGCGAGATAAGGTCGGGGATAACGCGCGTCTCGACCCGGGGCACGGCCCACTCCCCCCCTTCTGATAGGGAGACGTGACGAAATTTCACGGGAGACGCGAACGTTTTTGTAAAACCGCGAAAGATCAAAACGTTATTTACGATTTTATCCAGTTGAATGTAAAATATTATACGAATACGATCGCGTTACAATACAATAATATAATTTGTACGGTTGCTGCGGGTTTTCGGGTACCCCGTGCAATTGGGGAAAATCTTCGGTATTAAATTAATCAGAGGGGAGGCACGTGTACACACACAATACAGGGTAAATGGGACGCGTGCATCTTTAAAGGTCGAGAATCATTGTCTTATACCGCGTAGCAAAAGCGAACAGGTCCTCGCGAACGACTAACCCGATCGAGTAGAGTCGAATAAACGAAAACACACTTCTGGTCAAATGTTAAAATGCGAAAACGACGTCGACTCGGTTAAAATTAATTTGTTTTTTTTTTCGCTACATTACAAGCATTCAATATGCTGTATTTATAAAAAAAAAAAATAAACCAAATCAAAATGCCGCAGTCAATTATAATACGTAAACCACAGCTGGTACTGAAAACAGTAGATTAAAACTGAATTTCGAATTTCGTAAAAAATCGTTATAGTCATTAACACGTCAACTATTTAATCAAATTAATTAATTAATTGTAAAAAGTTATTAGTTAACACAGCGAAAATTGAAACAAGTTAAATCAGGTAGTAACCGTAAAAATAATCAACTTAAATTTGGTATGATAAAAAGTTTAAAGTATGAAAAAACGGCTTTTTTTTTAAAAGTTAATGCCCCCCACCATTTTCAGGCAGAGTGTACAGAGTCGGGATCGTCCAGACAGAATTGTTTAAAAGACAATCCAGATGACGACACTTCATATATTTTTATCTTTTTTTCATAAACAAGCACAGGTGAAAAAAGTGTACAAATTATTCATTATTTTTATTAAATGTGTAAATCATAGATAACTATATAATATTATGAAATCATAACTACTCAAGTTTTTTTTGTTTTTTCGTTACTACCTCGGTAATTCAAAATATAATATTTACGTATAATTCACAAAAATTTAATACATGAGTAATAATATATTCAGGGGGTCGACATGTCAGTGCGTTTCGCCGCGAAACGTTAAAAAATTTAAATTAAAATTACGTCCGGACGAGTGGAGATTTGTATGTTATACAGTTGTTCCTATTATTTGTGGATAAAGTAAAAATTAATTTTTTTTTTTTTTCATTTGTTATTTTGTTCTTAGACCATTATGAGTTTATATTTATAGTTAACTAGCATTGTGATATGATAATGCTTAAAAAAAAAAAAACAGTTCGTTACTGCTACCCTAATGTGCCTATATGAATTAAATTAACTTAATTGTTTTATTTTCAGTGGCACGTGTGAATGATAAAATTTGTTTCGTTTGTTTAATGGTTGATTTAAACACTAGACAAATATCCTCCCCTCCCGTCGAAAAACAGAAACGACGACCGGGGGTGTTTGTATTTTTCGTCAATCTCAATCGCGTTGGCGAAGTCAGCTCCGCGACTTTACCCGATTGACCCGCCGGCCAATCAAAACGAGTACAACGCCTAATCATTTCGTGAACGATTGTGACGATTGAAAATCGTTTTTCTTCTCGGACAACGGTCCGATTACTATAAAATTACTATCAAGCAGTCGATTACCGAACACGGTCGGAAAGCCGCTCGGGTGCGTTCGGTCGACGCGAAAATAGTACAAAAAATAGAAATTCCGGTTAAAACGCGGCGCGTACAAAACAATAGTGTCGACTGCAGTTACCTTCGTCCAGGACGTTCCTGATTTGGTCCGGGGTGAGTTCGGGCAGGCCGACTCGGACGGCCCGTCCGCTGAGCAATCCGACGGCCCCGTCGTAGAGCATCCGATCCAACACGTCGTCCGGCTTGGACAGCAGTTCCCGTTCGGACGGTACCGCGGGCCGGTCGTCGGACCGTCGACGGCGGTGGTCCTCGTCCCGGACCAGTGTCACGGAATCGGCGAGCGGGAGCGCGTCCGCGCGGGACAGGCGGTCCAGGGTGGCGATCGCCTTGGCCTTGAGACACGAAACGAAATCGCCTGTGCCGCCGCCGCCGCCGCCTCCGTCGTCGCCGTCGCCGTCCGCCCGCAAGCCGCAAAAAGCGTCCGACCCGCGGCCGAACGCCAAAGCCGCCACGCACGCCAGCGCCAGACTTTTGCTCATCGCGAACGTACTGCAACAGCCGATAATACCACGGCGGACGGAAAATCGAAAATGTCGCCGTCCCGCGTTGTGCGCGAATTGGAATACGACTCGGTGTGATATTAGTACGGGGGCGCGTACGGATTTTTATCGCGGTGACAACGAGTCGATAACAGTAATAAACGTCAATGCTATGATGTTGTGAATTGCATGCCGTTCGGCGCCAAAACGTGCACTGGTCTCCGGGTTTCGCCGGAGTTCGGTATATATATGGCCGCCCGAGTGGGGCTAGCGGGAAACGCGCGTGACGACGTCGTGTACGCGGGCCCGTTCTTCGCGGCGACGCCCCTCCGAGCGTTTCTGCGTTCGGTAGCGCGCGCGCGCGCGCGCGCCCCGGGGCCCCTTTCTCGTCGTCCGGCCGCGGGACCGGACGGCCGTTCGGGACGGCGGCGGCGGTGGCGCGCCAAAGGAACGAGAAACCCGCGAACAAACAGACTCGCGGGTAAAACGCTATTCAAAAGTATTCTGAATAAATACCGTTCGAACACGTGCGGAGAATAGCATTCGGCTGTTACAGCTTTACAACAATATTATTTTCAACATAATCCGAATACTTTTGCGGAAATTATACGAGATATTTTATAGGGCGCACGATTAAAAACAAAAAAAAAAAAAACAACGTACAAGGTTAAGTTCGGATGGTTGCGATGGGATGATAGCATAACACGATATTATTTCAGCTATTGGAAATTTTTTGAAAATGTTTTGAAAACAACTACGGTCGGGTGAAAAATTATGCATCTTTTAAAGCAATGCGCGTATAAATAGGAATATTATTACACGCTGAAAAAGGGTTTTCCGAGAAAATATAATGCGAAAAAGTATTAAGTTTTACAATGTTTAATACATTGTAAAACGAGACTGAGAAAAATTTGTTTTTTTTTTTTTTTCTGAAAACTAAAGTAATTTTAAAAACTATTCGAAATCCAGTATTGAACATTATCAGAAAAAATAATTATTTTAAAAATATTCAGAAAAATGTATTCGGAACAAACGTCTGAAAATAAAAACAGATACGGTTGAACATAGCTTATTACTACAGTGATGTTGCCGATGAATTGTTTTCAATGTCAATCGTTAAGTATGCGAGTATTATACATATATATATATTTTTTTTTTTAAATACAGCCAACAAAAAAATCACTAACACGGATAATAGTAGTCCTGAGAGCGTGTATACGACTTTTATGAAACCTATATGCGGTCCGTACCGGAGTTAATGTTTTACATGGAAACGTTAGTCTTGCATAGGATATTATATTTAAATTGACAATATCTTCATTTATTTTTTTTTATTTTTTTTTCTGGTTTTCCTTGTAATTTGCTAAGAACTCGAGAAAAACCGTAAAAAAGTGTCGGAAAATCAGGAAAATGTACTCGATAATGATTATGATTATTTTCGTGTTATTTTTTTTTTTTTTATGTCATTCGGTTAAAAACAGTCGAAGGCACCAGAAATTTTCACCGAATACTTATATTAGATTTTGGTAAAATGTCCAAAATTGTATAGTGATTGATAAGTACAAATTGTTTTAAAAATCGTAAACTTTGCCGTATTTAACATGTTAAACCTGTTTCAGTGAACTTCACTCAGAATCGCTTATCGTTAGCAATGATTTATCATTTCGTACAGACATAAATCAAATTATCCTAATTAATCTCAAACCTCTCCAACTTTTTGATTTTGAGTGAATGTGATGGTTCTACCATATTATGTTCTCTTTTTTTTGTCTACTAACAAATTTCTACAAGAAATATTGCTCCGATCATCGACTTCAGAAACAGTTTCTGTTAAGACATTTCGCTAAGTTAGACAGTACAATAGGATGGTAATTTTTGATTTGCCTTATAGTTTTCTAAATAATAGGAAAACACTGGTAAAAAACATAGGAACAACAGTAAACTAATTTAATTTTATAGAGGTCCATTACGAGTTTTACTTATAGTGTTAAAAAAAAATGTGTACGTAATTGAGGTAATAATCTTTTTTTTCTTTTCCACTTTCACACAAACTATTTGGGGTCGGTCATCCTTGTTCTAAACTTCCAGGCTACCCGATTTCCCACCTCACATACGTCGACTGTTCTCGTGTCGTTTTTAATTTTTTCATACGCGTTTTGGGTTCGAATTTTTTACGGAGTTCATACAGATTGCAGCATTTCGAAACGTGTTTAACAAAACTGGCACGCAATAACAGCACACCCTTTAATAATACCAGCACTTTTAGTTTTCTGCTCGTATTCACTAAAGATGAGGGTAAAAAAAAAAAAAAAATGTGCAGACGGATGCGGCCACTGTTAAAGTTGATTTAATATATACCTGTAAGCAACAATAAACCATTGCTAACGAAAAAGCGATTCTGAGCGGGGTTCGGTTGATAGTGATGCTTTATCAACAATATATACGATTTTATATTACAGTAAAATAATTAAATTGGCATTATATATTTTCTTTAATAATATTTGTTTAATGTACCGTTTTTTCCCAGGTTTTCCCCCATTTACTGGGAAAACTCCTGGGAAAATCGAGAAATGACCTCCTTAAAGTACATTCCCAGTCAGATTCCCTTTCAGAAAACGTGCTGTCATTGTAAACCGGAGCAAAATTTCCGGTAGAAAAGTTGTCAACAGAAATGAAAAAAAAAAAAAAAACCATCTTTGTTATCCGTGAGCTCCCCCGCCCCGCTCCGCTCAGAATCCAAAACAAAACGATCGGCGACGGGCGAAAACGAGAAAAAAACAAAAAAACCCCACGATAATATGAACGCGAACACGGATAAAAATGTTAACGTCCGCGGCGCAATGACCGAACCGGGTAAAACGAAAACCGGACGCATACGTCGATGCATACCCACTGCAAGTGTGCGGTGCGTGCGCGCGTGCGAGTGTAAAGGCGTCCGTTAAACGGAATAATTGGCCGCGCGGCTACCGTTTCGGGATCGATTAGAAATACTTTCTACACACCGCGCGGCCCGTACAACGCCTCGTGTTATTATTATAACAATAATAACAATAACAATAATCGTAAAAAAAATAAAAAATTCGCGCGCGTATGCATAATACGATATCGTTACGATGGGTTTTCGGTCCGGGTACCGATCGGGTAAAACGCGCGAGAGTGTGCGAACCGACCGGCGAAGCATGCAAATCCGATGACGGTTGCGCGGCGTCCGTTCGATTCGCGATTTGAATGGATAACGACGCGGCGCGCGTACGCGAATCCGTAATGGACAATTGCGGAGGATAATTTAAGAAGACGGAAAAAAGCAGAAAAAAAAAATGTTTACCGCCGGCGTGCCGACACGATAATATGTAATAGAAAATATCCAATTCGAAATTGCCGTGCACATTGTCGGTGAATACGCGCGCGATACCGTAACAGCCCGCGCTCTTTCGTCACGACGTACGCCCGGTATTGTTGTACCGCCGTGCGCACACCTACGGCGACCGCGCGTTATCGTCGTGGCTGCGGGATGCGCGGCGTTGCCGCTGGTACGTCCGGCAACGAAATCCACGCGTAATCGACCAAAACCGACCGTCCGACACCGTACAAACCGGCGCAAATAGGTGGAAACCGCGGAGTGCCGATAATCGCGCCCAAGCTCCCGGCGAGCAACTCCTGTTGTACGTAAAGTGTTTTGTCCGATCGCGATTTCGTCTCCCGATAACGCACCCGTTCGTCATTTCGCGCGGACCCGAAATTAATGTAGTTATTTTTTTTTTTTTTTTTTTATAAGCGTTCCGAGTTCAAATCACCAAACAAAATAATTTTATAAATCCCGTTTTCCCGATTTCCCACCTTCAATAGTGTGCACGCTCCCGTTGGCGATATCAGCTTAGCAACAAGAAAAAAAAAAAAAAACAAGATCGACAACAATAACCCTGCTTATAATCGTATTTTCGTTTCCAATCATTTATCGTTGCATAAATTATAATATAACAAGCCGGAGAGCTATTACGTAAATATTATCCTATTCATTAACTTCTTTAAATTTTAATTCGTCTAAACATTTTGATAATAATTTCGTTGACAATTAAAATTGTGTTCCGTTTGAATGTATTTAAAATTCCCCCCCCTCCCGAAACTGTTTACTTAATCAAATATATGATCTTCGTCAATATAGTCGCATAGTCTCAATCTATAATTTTATTTTTGTTACCTAGTTTTTTTATTTTTTTAATGTACATATCTAAAATATACAAAGTTTCACACGGATACTTACTCTAAAGCAATACGTCTGAGATAAACATTTTGTATCCCATGCAACCCATGCGGTTTTCGTTTATAATTTCGCATTCCAGCGTTTAACTATAAGACACTAACGAAGTCGTTTTTTTAAACGATTTAACATGTGTATGTTAGCAATTTGCCAAACGGATTGTAATAACGAGATTTTCGAACAACCGTTTTCGTTTAATCATGCGCAATTATTAACAAAATCAATATATTGTATTCGTACGTACCTATATATATATTATTAAATTTCAAATACTTTTTACTGTTCTAAGTAACCAAGAAACCTTGAATGTTAATTTTAAAACTATACTTGTATACACATACATCGGATTTAGTCTAATAACCTTAAACGTGTATAAAAGATTGAACTATATTCACCTGTACTGCAGTGCTAATGTTTCATTAGATTAAACAGTGAACTCGATGTTCCGTTACTTTTGAAGTATCTAAAACGCTTTTTCTTTTAAATTGGAAAAATTATTCATAATGATCTGGGGTAATGCAATCAAAACTGCTAGTAGTCAAATGAATTTCGTTAAAATGTATTACGAAAACAACAGTTTTAAACGAAAATACAGAGAGATGAACAACTAGAGTAACGATAATGCTATTATATTTCCCCAACGGACAAAATTAGAAATGATCAAATTTTATTTTTGCAGTACAAATATAAATGCTATTATATTCTACAGCCAAATTCCGTTGGAATATTTGATTTGTAATGTTGATACTAATGATAATATTGAATGCGCAAGCACAAGTTTTCGTCCAAAAAGGAAATATGAGTTACCTATATTTAACTATCTGTATAATTGAACCTGACTTAAAATTCGATATCCGCGTAATATTGCTTTAGATTCCGAGAGAAATAAAAAATTGTTTATATATATATATATATATGTGTGTGTGTGTGTGTGTGTGTGTGTGTGTATATA